TGAAACTGTGAGTCAATTAAATCTCTTTCCTTTATAAATTACCCAGTCTTGGGCAGTTCTTTATAACAGCATGAGAATGGACTAATACATCATGGGAAGAGAACTGCAATAGGAGTGTTTGCAAACTGCTAACAGAAGGATAAAAAGATGGAAAATGTTAGGGAAAGGAATATGTGTTTGAATTTGGGCACCAGAAGACCACAGGGTGTTCCTGCTAAAGGCAAAATGCAGAGACAATGCTGGGAGCATTTGTAAAATCTGAATGATTTGCTTCCAGTCTGTTGGGTTCTGGCTTCTGGTGTCACAGGGGAGTCTGCTTTTGATTTTATAGGGACAACAGAGAAAACATTGGATGGTCAGGAACAGGAACTTTAAGGCTTCTCAGGAAGATCAAGCGGCTTGGACACATGGCCTTCTGGTTTTCTCCCTTGATGGGAAAACAGGGAGGATTCTGCCAAAAAGCTCACCAGAACTTTCACATCTACCAACTTTTGTAGCCTGCCAAATCTCTGTGTGCGGCAGTCTGTGTTAACCTAGTCAAATTACCATCAAGTGGCCCGAAGCCACAGCCAAAGCAACCTCACCGTTTTCCTCACCCTGATTTAATCATCTGGGAGTGGATTTCTGGAATTGCCTCTAATCTAGCGAACACATATCTCCGACTCTAAACTAAGCAATTAACCCTTTCCTGGGGCCAGCAAACTTTTGGGAGAAAGTACAGTTTTGGTGTCTGCAATTGGATTTAAAGTTTCTGTAACTTCTGGGAGCGGGGGAAGAAGGAATTTTGACTCATCCTTATTATGGTCCAGACTCTGCTAGATGTTAATATTCATGACTTCTGCACACCAGTTCTGTGAGATAAGTATTATTAACTTCATTTTAAGCACAGGAACACAGAGTTTCAGAAGGATTAAGGAATATGGTCAGGACCACACAACTTAATAATTGGCAAGATTTGACTCCAAGCCTATCGTCAAGACCCAGGCTTTCCCCCATAAAACGCTTTCTGTTCCAGAACTGTTTAGTAAGCAATATTTACATTTTATACATCTTGAAAATTTCCAGTGCTTAGAGATGGAGCAATGCCATTCTTGGGTGCTTATGTCCCAGGGTAGGCATTCTTTATCTTGGCTGTCCATTGGAATCAGAGTTGAGATGAGGATTAAAGATGGATGAATTAGTTTCCTAGAGTTGCCACCACAATATATATATAAAAAAAATTATTTAGAGCCCACCCACCCTATATTTTGATATAAAATATATATATCAATCCCTGGGTCCCAATCCCCAGAAGTTCTGATTTAACTGGATTTGGAAGTGTAGCCTGGGCCTCTGTTTTTTTTTTTGTTTGTTTGTTTGTTTGGTCTCGCTCTGCCATCCAGGCTGGAGTGCAGTGGATCAATAATAGCTCACTGCAGCCTTGAACTCCTGGGCTCAAGCTATCCTTCCGCCTCTGCCTCCCAAAAGCTGGGACAGCAGATGCACAGCACCACACATGGCTAGTTTTTACTTTTTTGTAGAGGTGGGATCTCACTGTGTTGCCAAGGCTGGTCTCCAGTGATCTTCTAGCCTTGGCTTCCCAGAGTGCTGGGATTACAGGCATAAGCCACCTTGCCCGGCTTTTTGTAATTTTTTGCCTCTTTTTTTTTTTTCTTGAGACGATGTCTTGCTCCGTTGCCCAGTCTGGAGTGCAATAGTGCAATCTCAGCTCACTGCAACCTCCACCTCCTGGGTTCAAGCAATTCTCCTGCCTCAGCCTCCAGAGTAGGTGGGACTACAGGTGTGTGCCACCACATCTGACTAGTTTTTGTATTTTTAATAGAGATGGGGTTTCACCATGTTGGCCAGGATGGTCTAGATCTCTTGACCTCATGATCTGCCCGCCTCAGCCTCCCAAAGTTTTGGGATTACAGGCGTGAGCCACTGCGCCTGGTCCTGCCTTTGCTTTTTATCAGCTCCCTAGTTGAGGATGAATGTGTGTTGGTCCCTCATCTTCAACCAAGAGGGAGCAAGACCCAAATGAAAGGAATGAGTTGGAGAGAGCCACTGGGTTGTGGAGGGTCAGCTCTGTAGGGGCACCTGGAGAGTCCCGTACATATAGTCCAACAGATCAAATAGGATTAAGATTCTAGGTCTAAATCTCAGAATAGTTGGGGGAGGGGAGCTCAGAAAAGGGGGGCTTCAAGGTTGGTAGTGTTGAGGGAGAAGAGCTGCATAATCCCAGTGAGAATTGAATTTGGACTGGGGTCGAGGGAATGGGAGACCCAGAAAAGGCTCCAGCATCCTAAAAACGGATGGAAGGTTGTGGCCTGGGAGGAGCCCCAGTGAGCTGAAGATTTCAATTACACTCTGTCCTAGAGAGATACAGGGATACAACCACAGAATAATAAAGAAGACAATGATGACGATGATCATAAGAAAATATCTGACATTCACTAAGTGCCAGAAAAGCACTTACCAGGATTATCTCTCCAAAAGTGGGTTGAATGGTAGCCACCCTCCCCCATCAAGAGATATGTTTATGTACTAATTCCTGAAAGAGTAAAGGTGACCTAATTTAGAAATAGGATCTTTGCAGATGTAATTAAGGTAAAAAATCTTTAGATAAGATTATCCTAGATTATCTGACTAGACCTTAAATCCAATGATAAATGTGCTTATTTAGAGTCAGGTAGACCAGCCCTGGGTGAAAGAGATAGGTAGAAGGAGATTCGAGATAGAGAAGAGGAGAGGCCACGTGCAGATAGAGCAAAGATTACAGCCATAAGCCAAAGAATGCCTGGAGTCACTAGAAGCTGGAAGAGGCTAGGAAGGATTCTCTCCTACAGCTTCTAAAAAAAAAACATGGCCGTGGTATTACTTTGATTTCAGATGTTTAGCCTCCAGAACTATGAGAGAATACATTTCTGTTTCTGTAAGCCACCTACTTGCTGGAAATTTGTGGTGGCAACTCTAGGAAACTAATTCATCCCTCTTTAATCCTCACCTTAACTCTGAGGCTGGCACTATTATTACTTCTGTTTCATTGAGGAAGAAACTGAGACTCAGAGCTTTACAATGTTTTGCACAGAGGTTGCAGATTGTGGGGATAACATGTTAACTTATCTTCAGAGCTTAGGAACACTCCTACCATCTATAAGCTCCATAAGGGCAAGAACTGTCTACTGAATTTCTGCTAGAACCTGAGGACTACAGAGGAGCTAAGGATCCTACCTTGCCCCCACGGTTTTTAAACTTCAGTGAAGTTTCGGGACACAAAATCAATGCACAAAATTTCAAGCCAACATAAAAGCCAGGACCAGCCCAGGACCAGGAAAAGCATGATGTGCTTTCATTCATTCCGTGCCAAAAAAGACCCAATTTTTAAAAATTGAGATTAAATTTACATGACATGAAATTAACCATTTTAAAATGAATAATTCATGGCATTTAGTACATTCACAATGTTGTGCAACTACCACTTCTATCTAGAACATTTTCATTACCCCAAAGGAAATCCTGGCCCCGTTAAGCAGTGCCTTCTAGTCTCCTTCTCCCATTCCCTGTGGTGTTCTCCCCACTCTAGATTTGCCATCTGGACATTTTATAAAAGTGGAAAAATACAATATGTGATCCTCTGTGATTGGTTTCTTCAGCTTAACATAATGTTTCTGGGATCTCTCCATGTTGTAACATATATCAGTACTTCATTCCTTTTTCTTGCTGAATATTCTACCATGTGTGTATACCACAATTTTTCATCTGTTGATGGACAGTTGGGTCACCTTTTGATTGCTGTGAATAATGCTGCTATGAACATTATAATACAAGGTTTTGTGTGCACCTATGTTTTCATTTACCTTGGGTATATGATTAGGGCTGGACTTGCTGGATCACATGATCACTTGTAAAGGGGAACAGCCAAACTTTTTCACAGTGACTGAATATTTTCCAGCCACATGGATTGAATCCTTGCAACCTGCCAGGCACTATGTTTTAAGTTTTGATTGAATGAAATCCTTGAAACCAGTCTATGAGGGATGTACTGTGTTCCCCATTTTACAGATGAAGAAACTAAGCTTAAAAGAGATGGAACAGCTTTCCCAAGGTTAGGCTTGTGAGGAGCAAGGATGCAAACCTAAGTTTGTCAAGCCCAAAGTTTGTGCTCTTGGTCACAATGTTCTGTTGCCCCTCACTGGTGTGAAAACACATTGAGGAAAAGGAGAGGATGAAAGGTTGCCTTTGTATATTCCGTAGTGCCCAGCATAGGGTTGTATATTGAGTACGTTTTCAGTAAACACTTGCTGAAGAGGGCTAAGAATCTGTTCGATGAGTATAACAGTACCTATCCACGCTACTTTTTTTTTCTTTTTTTTTGGAGACTGAGTCTTACTCTGTCGCCCAGGCTGCAGTGCAGTGGCAAAATCTTGGCTCACTGCAACCTCTACCTCCCAGGTTCAAGTGATTCTCCTGCTTCAGCCTCCTGAGTAGCTGGGATTACAGGTGTGCGCCACCACGCCCAGCTAATTTTTGTGTTTTTAATAGAGACAGGATTTCACCATATTGGCCAGGCTGGTCTCGAATTCCTGACCTTGTGATCTGCCTGCCTCGGCCTCCCGAAGTTCTGTGATTACAGGCGTAAGCCACTGCGCCCGGCCTCCAAGTTACTTTTTTACCTCTTTAATACTTCAATACATTTGTGACAATTTTAACATAAAACAGGATTTAGCTAAACTCTCTCATGTGGCTACAAATCTGCTCTGCTGGAAAGACTTTGTAATGTTAGCCAGTAATGTTTAGGCAACTGAGCAACACTGTGGGGCTCTCTATCATACATACAACCCTGCTGGAGATTCGGGTTGAGGACTTACCTTCAAAGTACTTTAAAATGTTGAAGCTGCAGGTGTGGATGAGATTCCCAAGAGACAGAGCAGAGAGCGCAAATGAAGGCAGTTAGTTTTTGGCAGAAAGATTGAGAGACATTCACGTTTGGAAAGTCCTGGTGAAAGAGGAACTTGCTGAGAAGGCACGGTCTGAGAGGTGGGAGGAGAGTCAAGCTCGGGCTCAGTCCCAGAATACAAAGAAAGGGAGATGTCCTCCAGTGACAAATGCTGCTGAGAGTCAGAAGAAAAACATAGAGCACACCTTCATTTAAGTGGGCCTGGTGAGTTCGTGCATGGGTCAGAAAGGGTCACCTTGTTCCTAAAATGCAAATCTGTCATAGCATTTTCCTGCCTGAAAATCTTCAGTGGTCCACAGCTGTCTTCAGGATAAAGCTCAGGAGGCTTGCTCAGCCTGTTCCTGCTGCCTTCTCCAGCTGCATTGCTCCTAACTCTTCCCAGGTATCTGACATTCCCAGTTGTTTGTTTCTTTTGTTTGTTTGTTTGTTTGAGACAGAGTCTTGCCCTGTTGCTCAGGCTGGAGTGCAGTGGTGTAATTGTAGCTCACTGTAGCCTAAAACTCCTGGGCTCAAGTAATCCTCTGGCCTCAGCTTCCTGAGTAGATGGGACTACACAGACATGCACCATCTCACCTGGCTGTTTGTGGTGTTTTTAATGCTTTCTTCTCAGCCATGCCTCTGTGCCTTTGTCTGTTTTCTCAGCTGGCGGTGCCGCCTTCTTCCTGTTCACTCAGTGAGGTCCCAGCCAGCTCTAGCCTTTACTTCTGGATAAAATCCTCTCTGATCCCTGTTCTTGCCCCCAAAGTAGTTCTGACCTCTTACTCCACCATCTCTAGTTGGACCTCGAGCAAACCTTCTTTAAAACTTTCATCTCTGTATGCAGCAATTGCTTATGTACAGGCTGTGTCTGTTGGTAGACTGTGAGCTTCACGAGGGTAGAGCCCATGTCTCATTGCGTTTTGTCTCCTCTGTTCCCAGGTTTGCAATCACTCCTTGATGAATGAATGAGTGAATGAATGAGTAGGTGATTGACCAGCTGAGAAATTCCAAGGGTTAGAACTGGCAATGCAGAACACCTGTGTAGGACAAGCAACCACCAGCTGGCACCTGCCTGTTTCTGGTCTGAAATGGAAGCATCCCCAGCCCTCTTTACCCCTCAGACAAACACCTGTGATAACTTTGCCTGTCTCTACAAATCATTTCTGTAAGTGAGGCAGCTCAGGATAAGCATGGCTTAGTGAAAAGACAGGGGCTGGAGGCATACAAACTGGGGTTCCTTTATTCCTTAGATCTGATCTATAAACTAGGAATGGTATCTTCTACCTTTTCATCTTCAGCCAACATTGAGTGTATGATACTATGCTATGCTAAGTTCTGGGGCTGCCAAAAAAAAAAATAATAATAAGAAGAAGCCAATCATCCTATTCAAGAGTTCCCATTTCTTGGGAAGAGTTTCCAGGGTTTTTGTGGCAAATGAATGTAAAAAATGAAAATCATAACAACAACCCCATACTAAGCGCTGGTAGTGGATGGAGCAGTGCTCAGTGATGAGTACCTTCTGTAATTATCATACTGAATGCTCACAGGAAACCTACAAGGAAGGCATCATTAATTATCTCATTTTGCAGATGACAAAACAGTCTCAGACAGGTTGTGTAGCTTGAATGAAGGATATGGGCACAAGTCTGGCAGGTACTCCAGAGCCATGGGCTTACCTTCAGCCCCACTGGACTGACCCTCACATATACAGTGGGGACAGCAGAGCTGTGTCTATTGTGTTTTGGGCTTAGCCATATCCGTTTTCAGCTCTCTGACTGGGGTTAAGGGAACTTATAAGACCTAACCCCTAGGTTCTAAGCAACATGTTTATCCTTAAAGCCTTAAACCTTTTCTCCTGTGTGAGTTTTTGTTGTTGTTGTTGTTATTTATTTATTATTATTATTTTTGGGTCTCCTCTCTCGGATTTTCCTTGTCGTGCAGGAGTGTAGCTGAGATTCATTGCCTAATATGGTTCTGCAGCCCCTCCTGCTCCAGTGTCTCTGTATTTGGAAAGGGAAGCATCTCCCTGCTCCTTTATAGGGAAAGGGAAATGATTGCTCCTGGCAGTAATCCAAAAACTACAAAAACAAGGAGTGGAGGAGTGGGGAAGAAGAAATAGGTTCACAGAGAGAAGGCTGGACTATTAGACTTGCTGGTTGGGAGCTGCAAATATTTAGGTAAAAAAGACTCAGAGTGTGTATCTTATTTGTATCCAGGCACATCTCTGCTCCTGCTGAAAAGACAGGGAAGCCAAGGAGCTCGAAAGAGTCATGCAGGAGCCTGGAGGGCTGCTAAAAATAAAGCTGGCTGTCAGGGAACTGGAACTCACTTTGTACATTGCACATAAATACTTCCTCAAACTTCTGCTAGCTGGTGGGGCATGCAAAAGGAAGACTGGGAAAGGAGAAGGGGCCTTGGTTGTGATCAGGGACTGGTGGGAGAATGGGGATGGGAGTGCGGATGGAAAGTGTATGGCCCTTAGTAAGTAGCTCAACTTCTAGTCTGGGACAGATGTAGAGGAGAAAGGTGAGGTTTAAGGAGGCTGGGAGGTGGAAGCTTTTGGTTCCAACTAAGTTCTCCTGAGGTTGATGCTCTGGAAGACCACTGGGGGAAGGATGGAGCTGGAGGGGATGCAAGAAAAAGGAGGGGGTGGTATTAGTCCATTTTCATGATGCTATGAAGAAATACCTGAGGCTGGGTAATTTATAAAGGAAAGAGGTTAATTGAGTCACAGTTCTGCAGGTCTGGGGAGGCCTCAGATAACTTACAATCATGGTGGAAGGGGAAACAAACACATCTTTCTTCACATGCCAGTAGCAAGGAGAAGTGTTGAGAAAAAGGGGGGAAAGCCCCTTATAAAATCATCAGATCTCATGAGAACTCTCTCACTATCATGAGAACGGCACAAGGGTAACAATCCCCTTGATTAAATTGCCTCCCACCAGCTCCCCCTTGTAACACATGAGAATTATGGTAACTACAATTCAAGATGAGATTTGGGTGCACACACTGCCAAGTCATATCAGGGGTTAACAGTAATCCAGAACCCCCTATGGCAAGGTATTATGCTGCCCGGGACTGGAATTAAAACCTTATCTCAAGCTTGAGGGAGGGATGGTGTCACTATCCCTCTCCCATCCCTGAGAACTGTAGATGCCACGGATCAAGAGGTTTCATAACCTGTCCTGGATTATATAGCCAAGTGGCAGTTGGGCTTCAACTGTAGAGGTCGCGGATTCAACAGGCAAGGTCAACACTTGTGTGAATACTACAGAGACCTCGGAGCACAAGAAATGCCCTTGGACGTGGCATAAATGCATGTCCTCTTTGCTGGAAGTGCTCTTCTCTCTTTTGTCTGCTTGAGAGCACCTGCTTATTCCTGAGAAGTCAACTCAAGCATCACTCTGCCTTGAAGCATTTTCTTCTGCTCCTAGGTAGATGCAGGTGTGAGCGGCTATGAGCACATTTCAGACACGGCCCCTACTGTATTTCTCTCATCATTAATTTCCATCTGTCTTGTGCCCACAAGGCCATGAAACCCTCCAGAGAAGGCAGAGCAGATATTTCTCCATCTCTATTACCTGCCACAACGCAATAATTACTAATTGTGGCTAATGGTCATTGAACACGTACCACATGTTAAGTAACTCAAATGCAGCATCTCATTTAATCGTTACATAACCCCATGAAGTACACAGTATTGCTTATGTTCCTTACACTGATACATAGAAACCCAGAAATCACAGAGGCTTAAGAAAATGAACTTAATTTATTGCTCTCATAAATCAGGAATTCCTGACTGGGAAGTGGGATGTCTATAGTGGGTGCTGTTGGAGCCCTACGCAGCGTCCAGGTTCCCACTGGGGGCGCTCACAGCTACCCCGCTTTCCAGAAAATTGATTTCTGCAGAATGGCGGGGGGAGGAGAGATGGGTCTGCCTCGCCCAGGAGGTGACACCTCCCACCTCGTGGGGTGGCAGTGGTGGCCTTTAGCCAATTACTGCCTGATACAGGTACTAAGGCCGCCCTCCCCACTTGCTTCCAGGCGGGCCCAGCTCTGGTGGAATCTTGCCGCAGATTAGTACCCTGGTGAAACCACATACTCGGTTAGTTCCTTTTCCTGTCCTCTCCTGCTTTTTACACTTCCTTTTCCCTGAAATCCCTCCTTCAGTGAATCACATACACTTTAATCCCTGTCTTAGCCTCTGCTTAGAGGAAACCTGGTCCAAGACAGTAGCTCTCTGCTCCACATACTTAATCACGGATTCCAGCTGACAGACACTCTGTATTCAACACACAGCTTCTGAAGTCACCCTGGGGCTCAGCATTCTGCCAGCAGACAGGGAAAGGAAGAAAGAGAGCAGACAGCAGTAAAGGAGGTTGCATGAGTCAGGCCTGGACGTGGTACCCGTTGCTTCTGTGCACATTCTTTTGGCCAATACTTAGTCACAGCCACACCAAATTGCAAGGGAATCTGTGCAATAAGGATAGGCTAGCTCTGGGCTAGGAAAAGAGAAAAGTGGGTTTTGTGACCAGCTGAGCCAGTCTCTGTAATGACAGACACTGTGATGACACCCCATTTTAAAAGTGAGAAAACTGAGGTTTAGAGGCTTTAAGTAATTTGCCCAAGGTTGCAAAGTCAAGACAAAGGCAATTTAATACCAGAACCTGTGTGCTTGACCACTCTGTATGTTACTACCTGTTGTCAAGGATTGTTGAATATGGTCAACGACCGACGATGCTGAGGTTCTTGTTTGCTGTAGGTCCCTTGACCCCATGGCTGTATGGGCAAGGCTTTGCGTTAGTAGTGTGTTGGAACTCACTCTGTCTTGGCTGAGACATCCCTCATTTAAATTATAAAGTAAATTAGAATAAAACACCTCTGCTCTACGTCTTTCCAGGGACCATCTGAACTGAGTATTTCCAGATTTCCAAGATTAAGGCACAAGACACCTGTAAAGATGAGAGCAGGAAGAAAGAGGCAAAATAAAATAACATTAAGATGGCACCAGTTACTTTCCCTCCAAGGGTTTAGAATTCCTACTGGGACCTTCACAAGGCTGGAACTTTCGGCCCTATATCTCCCTCTCCACTCATGGCAGCCTCTTGGTGTCTCACTCCACCCTAGCCAGTGTAAACTTCTCTCTGAGTGACAGAGAGGAAGGCTTTCCAGGATGGACTGGGCCTGAGATTGCCTGCATTCATGTTCTAGCTGGATCACTTCAT